CCTCGGCTCTCGTGTCACTGTTACTCACCACAGTGTTTATTATGTCTGGTGTACTAGTTAAGAGCCTGTTTAGTGAGCGGGTGACTTTTATAAGAATTTTTAAAGAAAACACTCTAGGTGGGGACACTTGTCGTTTGAAATGTCCCCACACATTTCATAATTAAATACGTAACTAATTAAGTCAAGTTTCAAAAAGTTGGCCCTAATTTCTAGAACGGAAACAAAGTTACAGTTAAAGAATTATGAATTGTTTTATGTATTTCTGACACAAGGAAGTTGTGAATCAGAAACCAACTTTTGAAACTGGCACTAGTCTCTCCTTTTCTTTTCTTCAAGTAGATTTTCTGATACAAATACTTTAGTTATATACAGAGAGCAAAATACATTTGCTAAACTTGTTTGCCAGTAGAATTTTCACTTGACATTATTATAACAGAACCCTTTTCTTCATTTTATGCATCTACGATTCTGTGCTAAAAACATTAGCAAGAACAGACCTTAAAATTTCAGTTTTCTTAAAGTGCAGGAATGGAAAGCTCATTTTAAGGAAAAATCCATTAACGTTAAAAAAACTAAACTCTTATAAAGGGCAGTTTTTCTGAGAACTGCAAAGTAATGCATTCATTCAGTGTAGAACATGACTTGAATTGTTTAAACTCTTTGTGCTAGTAAGATCGGGCATCGCCCTCTGAGATTATGTGTATCCGACAGGGCAGTGTTTACTGTGCTTTCCATCAGGGGAATCTAAATAGCCTTACATACGTTATGTTCTCTATTATCTAAAATCAAAGTAAGTAGGAATTTATTTTATTCCTGTGATTATTTTTTCTATTTAAGCAATCCCCAAGTTAGGTCAAGTCTCTAAAAGTGCTTACTTAAAGGCCACATTTCATAAGCTAGCTGTCATTCCTATGATAGTGTCTCTTGTTTAACTTAAGCATTAAAAATAATATTTGACTTATTTCAGATGCGGAAGAAGTTGGAGAATAATACAGATAGAGAATTAAAAGAAGGTATGTTGCCAGCATTTCTGAATTAAATCTAGACACGGATGTCCGAAATACACTGTAAACAGTAAATGGCACCTCTTT